AAATGTATTAACTCCAAATATCGATAATGACATTGGGCCACAAAAATCCATATCATTCGAGCTCCGCATTTAACCATCAATCAATTTTTTGACGTCATATTCTTGAAGCCTTACTGTCAAGTTTTCCACCTCCTCTCCTCTCACCCCTCCTCCTCCCTGCTGTCCTCCTCTTCCCCCCCCTCACCTGTCCCCCCCCCCCCCCCCAGCTTGTCACTACTGTTCAAGATGTCCTCTTCCTTCTCTCACTTCTCTCTCCTCCAACTTCCCCCCCCCACCTCCCGTCAGCCTCTCTGGCCCCTCCAGTTGTCACTCGTTGTCATGTTGTCCTCGCCACCTCATCTTCCTCTTCTCCCTCGCCTTGTTTGTCCTCCTCTCCTTCCATTACCTCTTCCTCCTTCCCGTCCGAGCATGTGGTGGCTTCGCTCTGACAGTTAAATGTCACTGTGGGTTCCCTGTGCTGTCCTCTCCTCAGCCGCTGACCCAGAAACGTGGCCTTCCTTTAGTCCCTGTACTGTTGCCCCACAAAGCTCATCCCTCTTTCCTCTGCCTTGATCCCTTTCTTCCTCATATTCCTCATTCCCTCCCCACTTTTTCTGTAATCCCACTTCTCCCTGTCATCTTTCCTTTTCTGATATTTTCCTGTGACCTAAGCTGCTTCCTGTCACTTCTCACAGGTCGTTTATTTTTCCTCCAGAACACATTCATGGAAGTGTCTGTTCTATTTTTCTCCTCCCTCATTCATTCTATTCCTCCTGCTCCCTCTTCTTCCCTCATGTTTGGTTCTCCTTGTTCTTTTATGTTTTTTATGTATTTTTGTTAATCTCATCCCTTCATTATTCATCCCTAATCTCCTTATTTCTTTAATCTTGTTTTTCACTTGTTTTATTATTCTGTCCCTGCCTATTTTCCTCCTGATCTCCATCCCTCCTTTCTGCCACCTCTCCCATGTTCACGTCTTCTTAACTCCTTCCATCCTGCTTCTCAACCTCCCTTAAATGTCCTTCTCTTTCTTTCTCTCTTCCTTCTTCTCTTCTCCACCGGTCCCTTCCTCATGTCTCCACCATTCTCTTTTTATTCCCACCTTTACCATCCATCCATCCATCCATCCATCCATCCATCCATCCCTACCTCCCCTCATCATCATCCCATCCCGTATGTCCGACAGGAGCGGCGGCGTTGACCGGTGCGGTGACTCACACGGTGTCCACGGCAGTTATATGCTTTGAGCTGACAGGCCAGATCTCCCACATCCTGCCCATGATGGTGGCAGTCATCCTGGCCAACATGGTGGCCCAGGGCCTGCAGCCCTCCCTGTACGACTCCATCATCCAGGTCAAGAAGCTGCCGTACCTGCCGGAGCTCGGCTTTGGACACATGAGGTGCGTGGGTTCCTCATATTACGTTTTCATCACCATTACCTCAGCACAACTTTTCATCTGTGGGAAACAAAACAGTGAGGAGATCTGGGGCGTTTGATTTGAGCTTCCAGTTGAAGAGTAATTTTTTTTTGCACACTGCTCCTTGTGTTTGCTTCAAAACATGACTTGCACGTATTTAAACATGGATGAACACTAAGTGTTTTCACTCCGGTGTCCTCCTCCGTGTCCCTGTCAGCCAATACAACATCTTTGTTGAGGACATCATGGTGAGAAAAGTGAACTTCATATCCTCTCAGTCCACCTACAGAGAAGTCAAACTCCTGCTGGACTCCTCCTCACTCAAATCAATCCCACTGGTCGACTCAAAAGGTAGAAGAGATACCAGATTTCAATTTTTCACATGAAAACATCGAGTCCGGGTTGTGTAGTGAGAGTACGTACAAGAAGATGTTCAAGCCGTGACTGAACTCTGTGTTATGTCACCAGAGTCTATGATCCTGCTGGGCAGCATCGACAGGCTGGAGCTTCTGGCTCTCTGTGATTGGTGGTTGTCACCGGACAGGAGGCTCCTCATGCAGGTGAGGAGTTCAGTGACCGATTTATCTGTCAGATAGAAGGATTGCTTAATTTTTCTTTTCTCTGCTGTTACAGAAAGTGTTTTGATTTCCTTATGCAGACATTACCAAAAACACAGTACCTGAAGAACATACTGTTATAATTGTATATATACATTTTATCAAAACTGACCTGGACTGGTTATGTTTGATTCCCATTATATGATGATTTTGCCTGAATAACTTATTTTTTAGCTGAAGTTGTTTTTGCACGTTTCCATGGAGAAACACAATGCCAAGAAAAAATAAAGCCAGAGGTGTTAACATACATCAGAGGGAGGACAACATCAAAATAAAGCCACAGGTTTCATGATTTAAAATCTACACTGAATTCTGTCTTTATGATCTGTTTAACCTGGATGTGGATTCAGGAGCAGAGCCAGTCTCAGAAACACAGCTGGGAGTCCTTCGCCTTCGTGGATGAGGAGGAAGAGGAGGAGGAAGGAGAGAAGGCGAGTCTCTAATTTGTTCCCTCTGATTTCAAACCTCGTCAGTCTAACGCTGCCTTCAGACAAACTATTTTTTTCACTAGTGGTCAGTCTGGTTGGTGCTGTGACTTTTCCATCTGCCTCATTTTTAAAGAAGTTTAATCATAATAATATTCACCGGGTTACGTTTGGTTGTCGTCTGCAGGGCAGTCCAGTGCAGGAGGAGAGGAACGGCCCCCTGTCTCCTCCAAAAACCCAGGAACCGTCCTTTAACCACACTGCTCCTGTTCCCGGTGAGCTGAGAGGACCGCGTACATATTTCTGAGTACATTTTTAGTTTCTTCTTAATCTCAGTCGCCACGTTAAACTCAAACGTTATAATTGCATTGTTGTTGTTGCATTTTGCTCGAGGACGAACACTTCATTTGCTCCAGTTTGCCGTGTTTAACTCGTTTCTGTCAGAGTCAAGTGCCACCCTGACGTCCAGTTTAACGTAGAAACGAATCAAACCATTGAGGACAGTCACAGTTTCTGATCCCTCTTCCTTAGCTCCGTTACACTTGCAAAGTTTTGTGGCATGGAGTCGAGGCTGGAGAGCGAAAGCCTTATGGGGCCTGTCACACTAACACTGATTCCTTCAGACAAGTTTTGCTCACCAAGATGATGCAATTGGGTTTATTCTTTGCTGCGTCTCCCCCTGCTTCTCCACAAAAAACATGTCAACTGATATGACTAAGCATTTAGTCAGAGCCCAGATGGTGTATGGAGCTCATCGGGTTCTCATATATGTTAATACATCCGCACACAGGGGACAGAAACGCATCCTGTTGACGTATAAAATGAGTGTCCGCGGGAATTTATCTACTCATCAGGAATGTTACACAACCTGCAGAACAACAGACGCAGCAGCAAAGAAGAATTCAAACTCGTTTTCCCGGCTTCAAGTAAAGTTTTTCACAATTTGATCAGTTGTCACTTGGATTCAAAGATGAACTGAATTCGATTTCAGTGGTCAGAGGTCACGGGGACCTGATGTGAATCAGTCAGACTGAAACTTTGTGATGTCTCTGTGTGTTGAAGGTCTTTGTCAGTGATACAGGATATTAACCTGCTGCATATGAAACAACCTGGAACTGATAAGTGATTGTCCCTCAGCTTGTCTGTGGTGAAGACCAACACCTACGTTCTCTGTTTGTAGTTTCAGAGATAACGTGATATTTCCAGGGTTATTCTCTACTCGACTTCTTCACCTCATCCTCAGTTATGAAGAAGTGTAAGTAATTCCTGGACTCTGATATTCTTTCATATCTGTCCTACTTGACAAAGGTGTTATATCTCAATAAGTATGGTCTTAAAAAGTCTTAAATTTAACTTGTTGAAAACTCCATTAACCCCGAGGGGAAATAGTCAGACAGATCCTGCAGCTACATACGTCATTCCAACCATTCTGTTAACTGAATAAAATCTTAGAATCGTCTACTCGGTTACTGTCTCTGCCTTTCATGCTATTCCCCAAATCGTCTTGAGCAGGCTTGTTTGTCTCTGCCCTCAACAGATGTCAAACGATTGGAATTAATAACTCTGTAACCCTAAACAGGAGCGAGGGATGGTTTGTCTGCATGTTCGCCGCGAGTCACCAGATGGCGTGCATGTGTGTGTGTGTGTGTGTGCGCCCGTGTGTGTGTTTACCCCTCTATTGTGGCACAGCAAACTCCTCAGCTGCCTATCGAGCACGAGTCTACGAGTGGAACGGTATCCAGGCAACAACAATAAGCAGTTGCTTGGGTTGCCGCAGTCTCAAAAACCTCGATTAG